GATGCTGCCTGGCTCCAGCTCCACAATGTTATCTCTGACTCCAACATCGGCTGTTCTTACTATCTTTGTATGTCAAGTTTTTTTCACGATCTTAAGCCAGTCTAGAGTGAGTGCTTTGCAATGAGTGAACCGCTGGTTGTAATGTGGGAACAATGGCAGCAACATTGTGCACAGCGGGACCCTGCAAACAGGAGTGTGGTACTGACCAGATAATCTAAAAAATATTGGCCAGGACACGAGGGAGAACTGCCCCCAGTGCATTTCATGATAGTGGCCATGGGATTTGTTACATCCGCTTGAGAGAGTAGATGGTGTCTCAATTTAAAATTTCATTTTAACGGTATGTGACAAAAATGCGCAGTAATGTCCTGTGTTTCAACCTTGATTGTGGGCTAAGTCATCAGAATGGGTCTTCAACCCATGTCCTTGTCAGTTTAAAGAGAGCTCTCAACCACAGCTGACCCCATGAATCTGAGATTGGATTGAGGATTTGCAGGACATGTCCAGCTGAAGCAGTAGTTCAAGAAACTTGATCCATGAACCAGCATTTTCTATACTGGGAGTTGTTCATTTTGTTCATTTGTATGGGATCTCACTGTATAATATTACCTTTCATTTGCCCTACTTAGTCACTCAGTGTGAAAGGTTATTCATTTACTGTTAAGCACTTTGAGATGTTTTAACTGCAATGTAAATACAAATTGCTTCTTTCCTCACTACACGGTTATTGTATCGGGGGTTTTGGTCTGCCTTAGACAGCAACTGTTGGTGATATTTTGCTTCATATGCAAGGAGGACTTCACATTTATGACCTTGAGTTTAATGTAAAAGAAATCTATCATTATTTACTGTAAAAGACTGTGGAGTGTAGATAAATTGTTATGCTTTAAGTAAAATACAAAATGTTTTATCTTTAGTTTTAAGTTTCATTGAAAGGGTTTATATATTAAAACAATCTTGCCTGAAACTTTGTTTGAGGCTGCAGCAGGGTCATTGAATAGCATTTGTAGGTTGGAGAACTTTATTAAGATTAGGGTTGAGTTTGGATTAACTGTAAAATTTGCAACAATGCAGGAACCATAAATCCATTGGATTTGTGCTGAGACTATGGGTTTTTAGTAATTGTGTGTTTTTTTATTTGTTTGTGGGTGTGGCTGCTGGCCAACATTTACTGCCTAACCTTACTTTGTCTTTGAGAAAGCAGTAGTGAGCTGCCTTCTTGAATTGCTGCTGTTTGTGTGGTATAGGGACATCCGCACTGCTGTGTGGAAGGGAGTTCCAGGATTTTGACCAGGTGTGGTGAAGGAACAGAAATGTATTTTCAAGTCAAAATGATGTGCGGCTTAAGGGAAACTTGTGGCAGCGTTCCCATGTATCTGCTGCCCTTGCAAACTCTAGAAGGACAAGTTTGGAAGGTGTTGTCGAAGCACCCTTATGTGGTACACACTGCATCCATTGTGTGTTGGTGGTGAATGGTGTGCCTATTAAGCATTTTGCTTTGACTTGGATGGAATTGAGCTTCCTCAGTGTTGTTGAAGCTGTACCCATCCAGGCAGTAGGAGAATGTTCCATCCTTGTAGATAGAGGACAGACTTTGGGCAGTCAGGAGGTGAGTTATTTACTGCAGAATTCCAAGGTTCTGACCTGATCTTGTTGCTACCAAATTTATTTGGCTGGTCTAGTTCAGTTTCTGGTCAGTTGTAAACCCCAGGATATTGATAGAGGGAGATTCAGAGAATGTACCATTGAATTTCAAGACATAATGGTTAGATTTTCTCTGGTAGGAGATGGTCATTATCTGACACTTGTGTAGCATGAATGTAATTGTTCTATTTATATTTGAGGGTGTGACATATCAAAAGAAAATTGATTTGTAGGGACAGTTTATATTGGTTACTGTACCATACCCAGTCAATGAAGAAGATGCATTAAGAAAAGACAGTTTCTGCAGAGGTTTTCATAATGTCAAAATGGCCCAAAGTGCCTGACAGGCAACAATCTTCTAATTTCTGATGAAAGGTCACAGATCTGAAACATTAACTCTGTTTGTTTCTTTCTAAATGCAGTCAGATCTGCTGAGTATTTCCAGGATTTTCTATTTTTAGTTCAATGCTTCAAGAGTGTATTAGTCGTTATAAATTAGGAAACACAACAATCCCATTTGCACGAAGCCATATTCCGCAGCAACAATGTGTTAATCCAATACATTGGGCGCAAAGTGCCTTTATTTGTTTCTCTGAGGTGTGCCATTTTGGCAACATACAAAGCACGTGTCCTCATGGGGGCAATTGTGTATTGCAGTGGAAGGAACACTTTACCTGGTCATTTTTCTCCCCACACCTCTGCTACCTCTTTTGTTGGATCTTTAAGTTATATTATTTTCAACTTTTACTCATCTGGATAAGCATATGTAATGCCCTGAGACATCTTAGGATTTCCCTATGTGCTTGCCCAAACAAAATCTGTGTCTTTGGCACAAAAGTCAGTTTAATGTTGGAGATAGTTTGATCTGGATACTGGAGTTGCTGGTGGTCATGGGACCATAATTTAAATGCTCTTGTAAATGTCGCTTGTGAACTCACGCTGCCTGTCAAGCATGCTAGGATCTGATAGTTTTTGGGCTGAAAGTTTATTGAAATACATTAGATACATTGATTATTGAACAAATTGAATGATGTATTGTCACTTGCATTTTAGAGTGAAAAGTACAGTAAAATACAGTACAGTGAAAAGGTGATTATGATGTTTGGTCAGCAGCACAGGCTGTGTACAACTTGATACTGGCACCTAAAACTGGCTATGGAAGCTTCCAGGTTTAATCATAAGAACCCAACTGATTTGTTTCAGAGAAAGGAATGTTCTGTCCTTAATCTATCTAATTATGGCTCTGGTTCTACTCTATATTACTGACCTTTTATTGTCTGCCCAGGTTAACACTGAAATTCTTTTAGAAGCCCCTCCCTCAAGTCTCTGCCGCTTGGTTGTCCAAGTTTTTGATTTCTTGTCTTGAGAGCTCATCAAGTAGTTTAATGTTAAATTTTGTCTCAACACTTCTGTGGATCAGTTTGGGATGATTTTCTACTTTATTAGTTTGCTACAAAGTAAAACTATTCTTGTCTCTTTTGTGAAAAATACAAGTGACAATAAATTACTATTCTATTCTGTATCCACAATTACAGCATGGCCTCACAGAGGGTGCCTGGATTTTGTGCTCAGTTGTCTGGTGTAGACCTTAAGCCCACATTGTACAATGTTTAATATATCTTGGCATGTGTCATGTTAGAATTGTAAACTTTCTTTCAAAGCTGTGGTTTTTGATGAAGGGTAGATTGGGGTCTTCCTTGAATCAGATCTCTGCAAGCAAGCAAAATTCTTCCTGTAACAAAAACAGAAATTGCTGGAGAAATTCAGTTGGTCTGGCAGCATCTCGGGAGAGAGAAATAGTTAATATTTCAAGTCGAGTGAGCCTTCTTCAAAATTCTTCCTGAACTGTTCTGAAAGTCTGAGTTAATTGTTATTTATGGACTTTGTATTTGTAACCCTGAATAGTAAGCCCCACAAAAGCAGAGCTCAATGCTGCAGAAAACTGTCACTAAGGTAGCACCGTGGATCACTTCTGCTTCAGGGAGGTGGTTGGCAAAGCTAATAGTGCTGGTATGTTGTTTTGATTGGCTAGACCATCCCAGCTAAAAGAGTAGCCAATGCCATAGCTCAACTCTAGATTGCTGTTCCAAACTTGGGCTTTTCCTTGTGAGAGCACTTAATTTGGTATGAAAGGTGCAGGTGGGGAGAGCAATTTGAAGCAGTGAGTTCATCCTGCAGTTCAGCAAGTTGACTTTTATTTATGCAGTCAGTTGTGATTTTGCGTGCCCCAAATCATTTCACGAGCAGGGGACGTGGTCTTTGTTGACTGGGCCAGCATTTATTACTCATCCCTAGTTGCTCTTGATGGTATTTATGCAGAATTGTTTATTGTGCTAAAGGGCATGGGTAAGAAGGTACATATTACTACAGCCAGCGAGGGATGTGTATGCAATCTAGTGGCAGGAGAACCAATTCAGAGCTGCTACGTTCAGGGA